TATATCACAACGTAAGGGAGCTGAGATGCTCTTAAGCTTCCTAGTCTCATCTCCAAGTCATTCTTCAAAATGTCTGCAATCACTCCTGCTTGGGAGACCATTCCCTCTTCTACTTGGGATAATCTCTCACTCACATACTTTCCAACCAGGAAAGCCCCAGCTCCGATGCGGTAGCTGGTTGGCATTTAAGTGCCGAGGACTGGTAAATGCCTGCTCAACTGGACTGTTGGCTTGAACTATGTTCACCTGTGCGTGTTTCTATCCCTTCCCTTAAGAACCTACTTTTTAGGTTATTCTGAGTTCCAGCTTTGTCTTGCCCCTTTTACTCAGCTAATAACCAAATGTGTCGAAATCTCTCCCCTAAAACCACCTTTCCACGTTATTCAGCTTAACAAGCTCTGCAAGCTAGACTCTACCTCCACCAATCCATTGAAAGTGGTCTCAAAAATATCACTAACTGTCAAATTGAACGGATACTTTTCAGTCCATTATTTCTAAACTTTGTCATTTTATGTTTTTAGAATTTTAAATCACCTGATTACTGAAAGATTATGTGCTCATTGTCAAAACCTTAGAAAGCACAGAACACACACACACACACGACCATTCTCCGGCTAACTGGATTAATTTACTATTTTGGCACATTTCCATCATTTTGGGGGGCACTAATTCCGTAGTTGAGACCATTTATCTCCGTTAATTTCTCCAGAGTATATTATACTATTGACTGATGCAGTTCCTCAGTACTTGGGCATCAAGTCTGCCCGAGTTTCTCTTTCCATGGGCCCTTGTCCATCCCCTAGATGCTAGTCTTCACCAGGGTCAGCACGCCTCCTCCTGCTGTGCTTTCACGTCCAGGGCTTTACTAGTCTATCTTGAAATCCACAAAATTCTGTATTTCCTGCTTCATTCTTCCCCAAATTCTAGTCTCCTAAATCCACGCCCTGCTGATCACTCACCCTGAATGTTCTAGGCTGCTGTGTGCTGTCCACTCTGACTCATAGTAACCCAGTATGACAGAGGTGCCTTTCCTGGGCCGGTAGTCTTTATGGCATGATTCGCTAGTTTTCTCCCGTGTAGCCAATCTGAGCTTGAACCACCGACCTTAACCTCTGCCATGAGCGCCCCAAGGGTGTCATTTTTGCAGAAGCACACTGCCACTTCTTTCTCCTGAGGAGTGGCTGCTGGTTTTCAAACGAAAAGTCTTTGGATTAGGAGCCGTGTTCTTAACCGGTTGCTCTACTGCCAGGGCTCCTGACCTGGAGTACGGTGACAGCATAATCAAGTCTATCTGAATCCTAAACTCAACCCCAAGTTTACTTAGCAGGAGATTCTCATTGCCCTTCAAACGTAACTGTGCTCCAAACAGAATTCATCTTTCTTTTCATACTAGCTCCCATCCCAGCATCCTATTGACCGCATCACTGATGATGAGGTGGTTTCAAAAAGTTCGTGGGAAAATGGAATTTCTTCATGAACTTTTGAAAAATTCCCCTGTAATTAGTTTTAAGAGCCCTGGTGGCATCAGGTTATACACTGGGCTGCTAATTGCTAGGTCAGCAGTTCCAGACCACCTGTAGCTCCGGGGGGAGAAAGATGCGGCTTTCTACTGCGGTGAAGAGGGCGTCTGTCTGGGGCGCTCCTGGAGCCAGTTCTTCCCTGTGCTGTAAGGACTGTTGCGCTGGGACTGCCTGGTGGTGGCAAGAAGACGTGAACTCATGTTGCCATCGCAATCTCTTCCTCACAGTGCTGTCATTTGACGATCCCCAGTCAGCCAGATCAACAGCAGTTTCTCATTGCCTCCAGGATGAAGTCCAAAGGCCCCTCGTGATCAGACTTCCCTCTCCCCATCTTTGGCCTCGCCCTTGTATGCTGTGTTCCAGCTATTTTAAGGAACATAAGACCTCTGAGTCTTTTTCCATGTGATTTTCTCACTGGAAGACCTCTTTCTCCATGTTCTAAGCTCCCAAGTGACTTTCTAGGAAAAGGATTTTTTCTAACTGCCCCACCCCCCACGCTTCTAGATCATTCGGTGCTTATACCTATATGAGCCCTGAAACCTTGTCTTCTAATTGCCTATTTACCCAGCTTTATCTTATCTCCCTGTAGGCTGTAAACTCCTTGAGGGAAGGCACCATGTCATATTTAACGATGACAACAACCCTTTAAGGCAGTGGTTCTCAGCCTTCCTCATGCCACTACTCTTTAATACAGCTCCTCATGTTGTGGTGACCCCCAACCATAAAATTATTTTCGTTGCTACTTCATAACTGTCATTTTGCTACTGTTATGAAATCAGGTGACCCCTGCAAAAGGGTCGTTTGACCCCCAAAGGGGTTGCAACCCACAGGTTGAGAACTGCTGCTTTAAGGCCATGTCATTCCTACTGTACAAATAAGTAAATTGAGGCAGAGTTAAGAAATTTGTCATTATCAAAAAATATCAAAATCAGATTTAAAACTAGGTAGCCTGACATTTGATTAGTTCCTATCTAAATTCTTTTCCTTTAAATGCTTTCATACCATTTTGCAGAATGACCAGTCTTAAAACAAATGTCAGATCCCTTCTTTGAGGCCGAGATATCACTGGGATCTTTCTGGCCTAGTCTCCAGCTACTCCGTGGGAGTCACTTAATACTGCAAACTCCACAGACTCAAGTGTCCCATTCTGCTTTAATCACTGACCCCCTCCATCAAAATGCCTTTTTACAGCTACGTTTCTGGATACGTCTAGTTCCCTTTCAGCACTTACCCCATGAAGCATTCCCTGACAGTTCTTTTCCCTAACCACATGAAGGTACTAGAGGGGAGCCCTGGTGCTGTTGTGCGCTTTACACTGGGCTGATTAACCATAGGGCATTCGTTTGAAACCACTCGTTGCTCTGCTGGAGAAAGAGGAGGTTTTCTGTTTTTCCCTGTTCTATAGGATCATTGAGTTGGCGTCAACTCGATGGCACCGATTTGTTTTGGAGTGAATCTCAGGAGCTGTACGGTGCTCTGTTCGTTTTCTCGTTTGCACTACAGAAACAGTGCCTATTTCACAGGATTCTTGTAATGGATAAATGAGATGCTAAGTACTGAACACGGAGCTTGACACATAAGCGTTAAAATTTTTTTAGCAATTATTACTCTTGTTGCTGTTCCTCTACATAGCTGGATCTCTACTGCTGGCTATGGTATGATTTGCACACGCACCCGTGTAACCTCCGCAGCCACATCCAGTCTTATATTTTGGCACTATGTTGCATATTTGAGGTCTGTATTAAATTGGGCTATTAAAATACTACCCAGCTGCTTCCAGGGCCCAGGTCAGCCATCATCTCCTCCACTAATAGTTACATACTGATGCCAGTCCCTTGGATCGCCCCTTCCCGCACGTCTCACAACTCCCAGATAAACCACGTGCTGTTGTGCATGCTAAGTAAAAATTTTGTTTCAATGAGGCTACAAACTCTCCCAAGGCAGACACCATGTCTTGCATTGCATATCTGCCCAGTATCTAATATTTTTCATTGCAAAGTGAGTATTCAACAATTATTTGTGAATTGAAATATTGCTGCCTAAGCCTGAGAGGTCTTATCTCATTTTTATCAGCAAGTTGTTCCTGAGCTAACAAGTTAGCTCCTATTCTCATTCCTGTGGCTCTTGGGCCCGTGCTTCCAAACTCAGTCATTGAGCGGATTCCAATTTTTAAGTTTTATAGAAGAGTACCTCATCTTTCTCCAAAGGAGCAACTGGTGGTTTCAAACCACTGACTTTGGAATTAGCAGCCCAATGTTTAGCTCACTGTGCTAACAAGACTCCTGCTTAGAACAAGATTTGCCTGTATTTGTATACCACTGATAGCTCCTCTCTTTAGTCTGCCAGTAGAGGGCACTGCACACACATTCTCTTTTCCATCTCTATGGGTGCAGCTGGCTCACCATACATTAATTTACAGCTTTTGAGTCAGTTCTGACTCAGTGATCCTGGAGGGCAGACTATAGTCCCATTGTGTTTTCAAGGCTGTAAAGCTGACAGCCATAGTTTTTGCCTCATAACTGTTGGTGACTCAAACCCTCCACCTTTTGGCTAGTAGCGAAGGTTTTAGCCAACCGTCAACTGTTGTTATCACTGCATTGATCCAGGGCCTCACTGCAGACAGCCAACGCTACATGGCAGTTCTTCCTGAATTGTCTTCTTTTGCCTGCCCTTTCCATCTCTGGTCCATATGAAACAAATGCTGGGCCACAGAAATCATTTCACCCAAGAGTCTTGTCAGCACAATTACTTCCCTTGTTGGAGGACCAGATTATTTCCCATGTTGGAGAAATACAAAACCTTTGATTCTTTAGAATAAAGATTTTAGAAAACACTAAGGTAATGGGCAGGGATGCCAGTCCTCAACTCTGCAGAATCCGTCTGCTCCGGTTCCCTAGCCCTACAGCATAGGAGGGAAAGGAAAAAAGGGGCACATTTTAAATGGCAATTCTCCCTCCCTCACTGCCATGCGGTAGACCCCACTTATTACCCTCCAGAATTACCTCTGTGGGTTTCCGAGGCTGTAAACCTCTATGGGAGCAGAAAGCATCTTTCTCCCCCATTGTAAAAAGTCCTGATAGTCAGAGCTCTTAAGGCCAGTTTGACAGATAAAGCATCAGGTAAGCCAGGAAGATGCAGGGGGGGAGGCGGCAGCAGAACTACCATGTATACTCATGTATAAGCTGAGCTTTTCAGCACATTTTTAATGCCGTTTTTTGTGGTAAAATTAGCCTTGACTGATATTCAGGTCAACTTATACTTGAGCATATATGGTAACATACATTCTAGATACTAACTAGTTTTCCAGCTAACTAGTCTGTAATCTAACAACTCACCTCACCTACCTGCTTGCATTACAAAGAAGTTATGCTAACAATGTCCCGTGTTCAACCTCACTGACCTCATTCCCTAGCTGGACCACCTAGTAAACAGGCCAGAGACCACATTCTCAAGGAATTAATAGACTGGCTCAAGGGGGAGTGAGGATGAAATGATAAGGCTGTTTATCCAATCACTAGAAAATACACTCCACTATTTGACAATATACATGTATGTGTGTAGTGGTTATTTCACATAAAGTATTGAAATAACCGGACTTTTAGCATTTTGTATCTCTTGAAACTTTTCAATATAATTTTCTTCTGACCAATTAACTCTCCGATGGCAGCAAATGCCTTTAGTCTCTGAATCACCTAGCCCCCCAGTTTTACTGTTCAGACAGGCAGGTTAGACAGCATGTCTATTCGAGAGCCAAGCCACTCGCATCCCTAGCAGCTGAAAATACATCTGGAAAGTTTCTGAATTGAGAATGAGTCACAAACGGAAAAGCACGCTCTCCCCTGGCGTGGAAGGTAACCCCCAGTGTGAGGGGAGATCTTTGGGATACCCATCTCCCAGATCATTTGAGAAGCCAATACAGCTGAGGAAATACGACTCCTAATCACACTCTGGCAAAAAGGCAGAGTTCAATCTACTATGCATGACTGTTGGGGGCGGTGGGTGGTGAAAAAGAGGGATGGGGATTTGCCTTTCTCTTCTGGGAAAGGTGCTTTTCTGTTACACTCAGGAGCAGCACACTTCAGTGGCAGAATGCCAGTGCAGCGGGGGCGGAGGGTGGGGTGGGAGATCCTGAGCAGAGGTGGCACTCTGCCTCCTGCTGGCCACGAGCGGAAGGGCATGCACTCCTGGTTTAGTCTTGGGAGGCCACATTTCTCCTTCATAGATCACTAACTGAAAGGGAAGAGGAGGAACTGGGCTTCCTTTTTTTTGCTTATCCAGAACTATGGTGGTCAGTTTCTGGGCAAGCTGGTGAGGAGTCAACAAATCACTGAGGTCAAATACCTTAAAGCTCTCATTTTGGGAGCCACACCTGAGATGGATGGACTTTCAGCAATAGCTACGGGAATGATGGATGGACTGGGGTAAGAAAAGCCCCACCCCCCGTTCCAGGCAAAGTGATGGGAAGTGGGGAGCCCTTCACATCCCTATTGAAGGTTCCTATCCCATAGAAACACAGGACCCCACACCAGCATCTCCCTTGGTGTCTGCTGCTGTTTTCTTCCCCCTCCCCAAGCGCCAAGAGAACACAAGAGCTGCTTCAGGATATTTCTGGATTGGTCCCCTCCCCCATGTGTGGGTCTTTTTTTATTTCAAATACTTACTGAAAAAGGCCCCTGAGCTGTGTGGGGCTCCTCACACTCATGGCCCTCCTCCCACAGCAAATCTAGTTCAAGGGGACGGCGCGTTTTTATGAACAATTAACATGGATTCCCAGCTTGCTCTGCAGAGAGAGAGGCACCATTTGCATCCGCCACATTTAGATGCAGCACCCACACTGACAGGGCGTTTTCCTACAGTGTTGAGTCGGAACCCCTCCTCTGAAGTCCATTCTGCTTCCTCCAGATACCACCCCCCCACTAGCCATATGGTTAAGAAAGAAGATAGTCAGGAATGTTTTTATCAACTCCAAGCCCTAATTCATATTCCCTCAAGTCCACCACCACCCGCCCTCTCAACCCCACCCCCCAGGATGTCATTGAGATTTTGCCCAACGGAAACTTGGAGAAAAAAAAAAAAGGTAAAACAAAATAGGTCCAAGGTCTTGGTGCTCAGCCCAAGGGGCTCCATGCGCTGGGACACCAACGGGCAGGGGCTTCTGCCTCTCCAGCCCGCGCCCGAGCCACCTCCTGACCCCTGGCTGCAAAAGCAGGGAGGGGCAGGAGCCAGCACAGGACCCAGGGGGGGCAGCGTCTCAGGATCTGGCGGGAGCCCCGGGCAGCATCATTCAACTTGGCCACTGTGGATGAACACAGAAGAACAAAAAGAAACAGTCAAGCAAGTCAGGAGAGAGCCCTACATTCCAGCCCAGGCCCTAACCCGAGTCTCCTCCACAGTGGACCATCATTAAGCTACCTGGCATAGGCCTCAATCCTACCCATAAGGGAGTTGCAATTAAACAAACAAGCAAACAGAAAAGATAAAGAGAATTGCAGTCTTTTCCTGTCCACGGCACAAATGTTCTCTGCCTTTCTGGAGCTATCCACGGAAAACAGAGAAACAATTCTACACAAGCATGAAAGTAAGTGGAGGTCCTCAGGGGTGTAAGCTGCTTGGCCCCCAACAGGCCGGGCTTTGGAGGCCCAGCCTGGGCCCAAGCAGCCACAGAGATCGAGGACTACCAGCCTAGTGATGGCAGTGACTGCCTGGAGGCCAGGGGCAAATGGCACAGCAGCTGTTTTGGGTGGAGGCAAAAAGTAATAATCCAGGTTCAATCAAAGCAACTTGTATTTGGCTGTTGAAAAGGTCCTTCCTTGCTAAAGAAGCTATGTTGTTCACGGAAACAAGTGGCAAAAGGAATGCAGCTGTGTCTTTGTTTTCTTAGCCGTGCGGATGACCAGGTGGAGGAGGAGTGAGACCCCGTCTCTATCCCTTCCATTCCTGCCTAAAACCAGACTTCATTGGGCTCATCAGCTTTGAGGACTCGGGCTGACAATGGAGAAGGCAGCTCAGACAGAAAAGGAAAAAAGTACAGAATTCGAGAAGATCGGAGATGAAGAAAACGTACAAAATTATATATATATTTATATATATAATAACATGACATATCTATGTACAACATGGCTGGGACAGTTCAAACTATACAAGGATGTTCGCATTTTCCCCTTCCCACATAGACTTTAGACTAAGGAAGACAGCATGAGGAAATGGACCAAGAAACACAAAAAATTATATACAAGGGACAGTCAAGGAGTTTGGGGGTCAGGAAGTCCAGGGATCCTGCTCTCTCCATTCCTTCCTCACCAACTTTTCCCGTTCCAATCTGAATGACAGCCTGGAAAGCTGAATGGCCAGTCAGGAGCAAAGCATCACCCCTGCCCTCCCATGTACACTAGCAAGTTCATCATTCTCGTCAGGCCAAATAGCTGGCACGTCAGAGCTTGGGAGGTGAAAGGGCTCTTGGGAACGGCCGGTTCTCACCCTTGCCTTCTGTCATCACTAGCAGGTTGCAGTCAGATTCTGGCCAAACTGGTGCTGCCTAGAGCTAGCCAACCACGATCCCTTTCCTCCACCTGTTCAAGAATCAGCAATGCTACTTCTCTTCATTGCCCCCAAACTGGGCTATGGAGCTTCAGGAAGGTTCCTAAAGCTCCTCTGGGGTGTATCATCTAAGAGCCTGTCATTCTGCTCCAGCCCGGCAGCAGTATTAAGCCCTGGGGCCAACACAGTTCTACCCCTTTCTCCTAGTCTCCCAAACCCAGCATCTGATGACAGCTGAAATGCGGGGCTCCACATGTGGGCATGAGCGAGCAGGTTTCCTCAGGCCCGCAGATCTGCTGCCAGAGCAGCTTTTTAGCAGCGAAGGCCCAGATATAGGCCAGAAAGGTGGGTGGGGACGGAGGCAAGAAGCTTCATAGCTGGTTTCTTCAGTTTTTTCCCTTGATTCATCACAACTAAGAGGTCCTCTTGCCTGACTTTCTATCTTTCTCGCCCCCGTAGTCCTGGAATGGTGCCCCTCTGCAGGATTCTCTAGACAGAAGCTCCCCGGTGGAGCCTCACTCACTTTCAGTTTTACAGTGAAGAGCGCAGAGGTGTCCAACTGGACACCAGAATCAATCTTATATACACTCAATTCTATTTTACAGACGAGAAAAGAGCAAACCAGACAGGCTAAATGACTTGGCCGAGGTTACACAGCACTTCTACGAGACTGAGTCGGACAAGAACCCAGATCTCTCGACTCCTAAATTTTCTGCTATCCCATGATTCCTTTTCAAAACCACCTTTCTGGGAGAGAGAAGGTGCCCATTTTCTGTGAATAATGTTCACCAGTCTTTACATTATTTGAGAGCCGGAGCACACTGTAAGAGACACTGAGTGAAGGTGGTTGAATGAGCATTGTCACTTTAGGCAAGCAAATCAACTGTTGTGAGGATTCTTTACGCCTGCCATAATGGAAACACAAAGCAACAGTAGCCTTCAAGGGACAAAACATTTAGAAGCACAGAAAACATATCTATCTACCTTTCCCACTCTGTCAGGTTAGCTTGAGATGTTAAACCTGATGTCACCCCCAAGGTTCAGCCTAACCAATTCTGGGATATTTCTTCCAAAAGGAGAAATCCTATCTCCCTAGTTTTTCTTGCCAAAGAAAACATTAGCAGCATTAACCAGTCCTAGCTTTTCCTATTCTGGGACCCCTACCTGGACTACAGTGAGGGTGTAGAAATCTCCGCTTAACCAAAGAAGTAAACTCAGAGGCCCTCTTCAACCCACATAACCTTCCCAGCAGCCCTCAGCAGAACCACAGTCATTTCTGGCTAGCAAGCTGAGAAGCTCTGCATGCCCACGGCATCCCTGCCTACACTATATAAAAGTCCAGTGGGTGAGGAAGGGGAGGAGAGGGGGCCCAGGTTACCCCGCAAGCTTGCTGGTGACGAGTGAGGACTTTCTTTGGGGCAGATCCTGGGGGGTGGGGATGTGGTCACCGGTCACCAAGTTCTTGTCTGGTCCTGCACTTGGCAGCTGTTTATTCTTCATCTTGGCTTTGGCCATGTTGTAGTCTCCTGAGTCAAAGTACTTTTGCTAAGAGACAAAGAGGGAGGTTTACGTGAGAGGGGGTGGGGTGCGGGCATTCTGGCCTTCCCTAAATGCAAGGAGATTCACCACCATGACAAACCCTCATCCACACCCAGATCTTTGCAAAGTCTACCTGGTGTAATCTCATGCACACAAAGTTTAACAGTACTTGTATATACTTAAATGTCTTCTCTCCAATGAGTTCTTACCTTCTCAGGTAAGCAAACAGCCCTTATTTCAGGGAAGCAGGAGATACTGTGCTTACTTAATGTAAGCCAAAGTACAATTACTGCCTTTAATCAAACAGGCTTACCGAGGGTCTACTATGTACAAAGCCCCGGGCTTGGTACTAAGCTGAAGCAAAATGAAGGAGATATGGAACCGAGTTGTTCTGGGGCCGGCCTAGTCATCATCAGCTCAACCTTCAGCTACCAGCTAACACATTTTTTCTCAGACCAGGAATAGGAACTGAGCTTGTTCCTGAGGACACTGTGTTTTCCCTCCAACTCCCACACACGTTCCATGGCTGTGACAGCCTGCCCACGTCTGCCTTGCCTACAGCAAGGTAAGCTACGAGTTGACATCACAGTATCATCTGTGACTAAGACTCAGTAACTGGGGCTCTCCACGGGGATCTGTTTCACTCTCCACTCTCATCCATAAACACATACTCTCCAGCTGAATACCTTCAAACCCCTCTGGCAGCTTCCGGTAACTCTAGGGACTGAGGCATCTGATCAGGAGCTAGATGCCTATGAAGGTAGATTCTTCCCTGGTGAGTAAAGACCTACTCTGGCCAGGGGGTGGAGTGTGTGTGAGTCTGTTGAGAGACTTTAATGGTTGGTGCTGCACAGTTTTGGGGTTCTGAAGAAATCTGTTCATTGTAAGCTGAGGATTTCTATAGGAGAGATGACATGATCTTTTTCTCAACTGATGTACCCCTACTTCTAATTAAAATGACAAAGCATAGCCCTTGCCTCCCATCCTCACCCAAACAGGCAATGTCTGCCGTCAGCAGTCTGGTCTCAAAAACCCTTTCCCTATCCTTGCACAGCCCCACATCCAAGTACCCTTCATTACGTCTTCATTTCCAATATGGGAAATCAGAAGGGAACGGATACCAGATCAAAAGTTGACAGTATTTTACCTTGCCCTTTTAAAGTTTTTAACTGCACAGCAACAAGTTTCCTGCTCATCGCCAAGCAGAATCTCTAAAGAGATTTTTTTCAGCACACCCTTACGCTGCAAAGTGGAAGGGTCAGAGAAGGTGCCGTACCCCTTTCTGGAGTCTCTTCATGAGGAAGTCGGAGCCTCCAGGCTTTTGTCCTAGGCTTGGATATTTGGCCTTTAGCTTTGCCTCCTCTGCTCTCTCAGGGAGAATACCTTCTTTCTCCTGCGTGTCCTGAATCGAACAAACAAATAAAGGGACCAAATACAATTAAAGATGGAGAAGCAACTGATTCTAACATGGGATAACCCAGATACCATCCATTTGTCTTAGAGACCCACCCACTTGCAAACATGCGATCACGTTTACTCAGCTCTTAGAGCTAGACCTTTGTTCAAATCCCAATCTTCAAGATGACTGTCTTAGAGGATGAAAAAGGCAAGCTGCTTCTCAGGCTACACCCAGGGAACCACCCCAGTGATATCTATGAGCACTGACTGGGTTAAAGGTAATAACCAACAAACGTAATACTTTAATCACAGAGCAGGTCACAACTCACTCGGCACAGAAGCTAGGAAAGACAAAAGAGAAAGAGCTAGCTCGGGCTTCTGATGATCCAAGATGTGTAGGAGGGTTCCTCAGGCATCACCCACCCACATTCACTGCTGTCTAGTGACACTGTACAGGGTTTTCAAGGATGCAAATTTTTACAGGAACAGAAAGCTTCATCTTTTTCCTTGTCCCTAACACACAGTACAGGTCAAACAGGAGACCAAAGAGTCTAATTCTGCTGAGATCATCCCTCCTTATATAAAAAAAAATTTCATAAGCCTCCCTGTGGAGGTGGCTATGGGGCCTCCTCCAAAGATCTCCACCAGAGTTCTGGGGATAGCACTGCTCCCTGCAGTAGGAAGGTGACAGGTAAGCAGATAGGCAAATGACAGTCTCTAACCTCGGATAATTCAGATATCGTAGAGTCATTACTATTTCCCCACAAAATAAACACCTTTCTTAGGAGAGCGAGGATGGCAGTTTGGAAATTGCCAAGGGCTGAAGCGGCTTGCTCTTGTTGGGGGGAAATCATTCTTGCTTTTCCTGGGCTTGGTTGCCTTTTTCTTTAGAGAATAAAAAAAAAAAAAGGAATTTAAGGCCAATCTGAGCCTCTTGTTAGTGTCGTTGCATTACCCTTCTCTTAAAAATCAGGTACAGATAAAATCGGCATATTTAATGGGTCCTGGAGCCCAGTACTCAATGGTAGATGTCAAATACAAGCTCCTAAAAGGGATTTTTCGTTGACGTCGAGGTTTCCATCACAAAACCGTGGCTGAGCCAAGTCCCACTGTTTGGGAGATATGGGGGAATCTGGTGGTGTCTTTCATATCATGACGGTTTGTCTTTCCTGTTTAACCTTTATTATTGTTTGGAACTCTGGTCCTCTTCGACCTTCTTCGGTCCGCACTGAAGGTGGACGACTATCGCTTACCGTCGAATTAGGTCTCCTAAGAAAGTTACCACCTTCAAGTAGCCATCATAATAATGACTCTTCCCTCTCCTTGTGCTGGTGCATGTTAAACGACTTTACTTCGATCTGCATATTTCTGCGGATTGAGGAAGTGGGCCCCCAGCGTGGCTGTCGAGTCATTGAGGCCCCTTACTAACCCATCATATCCTAAGACCCCAACCCCTAACCCCCTCCATTCACGTTGTCCATCCAAACGCCCGCCCCGCGCCCAAGCTCGGCCAATTACAGCACAGCGTCCTTGATTTGAGCGGTAGGCCTAATGTCCAATCAGGAAGGGGACAGCACTGACTGACAATCAACCCAACTAACCAGCGGCAAAGCAGCGGGCCGAGTTGAAGCTCACCCAGCGTGACGCAAAAAGTAACCAACCCCCGCAGACTCAGAGACTATGGCGACCAATCCGCACGGGCGGGATACCGTCTCCCGCCCCATCACGGTCGCCCCCGGCTCACCCACCCGCACCCCCTCCATTTCACCTGCTTCTCCTCGCCGGTCTCCTCCGAAGGGTTCTCCTCTTCCTGCTTCTGGGACATGGCGGGACCGGAACTGTGGAGTGTAGGGGCCCCGGGAAGTCCGCCGGATAAGGGAAGGGGGAGGGGAAACGGGGACAACCTGCGCTGCTGCTTCGGCTCCTGTCACTAGGGTTGCCCGGTCAAAATGGCGGCCCTTGCCCGTGACGTTGCGACCGCCCCTTCCTGTGGAAGCCAATGGGAACGGAGGAGATGGAGCAGTGACGTTAACAATCTGCCAATGGTTGCCCGCCAAGGGCGGGTTCTCTAAGAGCGACGGGCAAACTGAACCACCAATCTGCAAAGAGGATGAGCTGCAAGGACCAATTGGAAGGAGTTTTAGGAGGCGAGGGTGCTAGCCAGCGGTGGCATTTTTGCTGCTTTGGTGGGCTCTACGTTCTGTCGGCTTCACTCGTGAGCTTCGTGGAGGTTTTGCTAAATGACAATTCTAAATCCTTCCACAGTATAAGACGAAGTGCCTAGGGATAACTGTCAAATTCATTAGTGATCAAGAAACATTCGACAGAAAAACGACCATGGGGGCGGCGGGGACGGGGAGGGATGGCTGCAGAAATAGGTGGGTTTAAGACCTGCCACTAGCACCCTCTGATGGGCCAGACTGAGAATACCAGCACATTAAACAAGTTCTGCCCAGTAGCTGTAGGATAACGTTGGGGCTGTCTGCTCCGGTAAAGATTTAGTCCCAGAGGAGCAGTCGGAATCGCTTCGGTGGTGGGGGGTTTGGTTTAGGTCCAGTAGTTACCTCTTCTACTCTCAGGACTGGTCAGGAAAGTACCTAAAGTGACCAGGATAGCGTTCAAGGTAATTTTTATAAAGGTAAAATCATAACTCACATAAACAAGTCAAATTTTATCTCAATAAGGGAGCTAGTAAGATGTTAAAACTGGTTGAAACGGGACTTTGAAGGCAGACATAATAGTCTATTAGAAATACTGAAAAGAAATTACTAAAAGACACAAAACTGAACAGTACGTAGCATAAAATGCAACATTGAGAAACATTTCTGCTTCAGGGTGGAAATTGTCTGTCACTGGACAATATTTATTTGCCTCTCTATACAAGAATCATTTATGTTGTTATCAGTTTTTTTACAAAGTTGTGGAATAGTTAAAAGACAATGAACGGCATAGATAACTCCAAAAGCTCTCCTAAGTCCAACAATCTTTTTTCTCTTTTAAAGTCTTTTTCCTGACAATGGAAAAGCTTTGCTTCCCATAAATCCCGTTTGCCTTCCATACTATTGGAGATTCTGGTTCAGATGCAATTGTGTGACCCAGAAGATACCAAACCTACATTATCAGCTGACATCTCAAACTTGATTAAGTAATCAGCTTGAATTGACAGTTAAGACACTGTGAAATATTAACCCAAGAAGGCCTTAGAGCAAATCACAGGAAAAAATGGAATATTAGCACCTATTATGTGTCAGATACTGTAAAACAGCTAACTACTTTTTGTAGTATTTGTATCTGAAAAGTATTCAACACAAAGGGGGACAATTAAAAAAGAAAAAAAAAGGGGGACAATTACTAACCTAAAAGAATAGGTCACTAATGAAATTTAATGTGCCATCAATTATCTTGTGAAGACTTGGGGCAGGGGGCCGCCAATCCTCATAGTCATGTCTGACCTGCCACTTACAAGTCAGTCTGGGGTAAGTTTTGGAGGCGAGGTGCTAGTAGGTAGAAAGGATTATGGGAGAATAGAAGGATAGTGGGAGAGAAGGCAAGTTTGAGGAGAGTGTCACAGGTTTCGTGAGCAGCCAATCAGGTTACATGATATCTCCCTTCAAAGTTCTATTTCCTCTCTTCCCTCTTCATTTCCTTTTCTCTGGCTCTTCCCTTCTTACCCCCCCCCCCCTTTTCCTTTTGTATTGGATAGACCTCTCCTTTCCAACTTCTTTTCCTGAATGTTTCTCCATTTAAGCTTTTTCCTGTGAGCTCCAAAATCCTGTTAAGGTAAAACCAGTCAACAAACCATGTTGTTAGAAGTCAGGGGAGCAGTTGCTTTGGGAGGGCAGTGTCTGGAAGGGAGCACCAGGGGTGGATTCTCAGTTGCTGGTAAGGTTTTCACTTTATCTTGGTGTTGATTACGCGTATTGTTTGTGAAAATTAATTGAGCTGTAACGCAGTATATGTGCACTTTTCTCTCTATATATATATAACTGGTGGATTTCAGAGATTAAATCTTGAAAAGATTAGCCGGTTCTTTTTGGAAAACTTCTGGTACAAAGCTATTTTTAACTCCAACATCTGCTTAAGAGTCTTGTATACAAACTCTGATTGTTAATGTGATGATTTACACATGTGACAGAGCTAAATTATTGAGCAATAGGAAGTATGGAACTTGAGAATAAAGCAGATAAGCATCGTCACCTTTGGATTCAAAGAAGTGAGAAGAATGTTTTTAGCAAGATACCCTGGTGGTGTAAACAAGTTGGGTTGCTAACTACAATGTCAGTAGTTTGAAACCACCAGCTGCTCTGTGGGAGAAAGGTAAAATTTCCTGTTCCTGTAGAGATAGATTTACAGCCTCAGAAATCCACAGGGGCAGTCAGTTTTACTCTATTTGATAGAGTCAGAATCAACTCAATGGCAGTGAGTTTGGTTTTATTTTTTTTCCTCTTTTTTTTTTGAGTTTGGTTTTTAAAAAGTTTTTATTTACCCTTACTTTTGTTAACTACTAGGTGGTCTTTGCACCACACCAAAGGATGACATATGGAAATGGTACTTTGTCTTAAAAATGACAGAGAAGTCTGTAAATATGTTTCTTCTAAGGAAGAAAAGATCAATAGAAGAAGGAAAGAACAATACGTCAATTATAAAATTAACCAGTACAAATATATTTTCATACTTTCCTGAGTATGTTATAGTTAAGTACATTACCTAAATTTAGCTTTAGCCTTCTTACCTCTTAAATTTAGGTGCCATTTGCAAGTAGATAATAATAGGAGATAATATACTCATTTATCTTGTGAGAATAATGGTAAAATTAGATAATTATTTTATTTGCTTTGATGTGCCCCAGCTCCCAGCTTATACATGTTACAATTATCAAATTCATGTACCTTTTATTTTCTCCACAGGATGAAACTGGTTGATAAGCTATTGTAAGGGGGAGGCATTATTGGCCTTATGCAGAATGTTTTATTTCCAAGGAAAATATGTGGAAAGTTCTGTTTCCAAGGAAAATAACTAAAGTATAAACCTGCATAGAGAGACCAGAGAGCCAAGAACTGATCTTTATTATACAGAAGTGTGAGAGCCATATGCATTAAATGAGAAGATGTTTGGCAGTGAATATTACGCAGATTCAACAGAAGACATCCTAATCTTAGAGATAATATAAAAATAAACACTGACTGAGAGTTGCAAGAAAGAACTCAACTATTATCCCCCAATCAAGCCGGAGCTTTCCACAGGAAAACCTGGTTTCAATTCATGCCGAATTGTTCAAATGAAAAGCAAAGCTAAGTCAGGTAGAGGCAACATATGAACTGGCTTTTATCATTTCATCAAACTAGAGCTCTACTCAACCTCACAGTTACACTTTGTTTCACATTACTATCTCTACCCTAGTCAGATAAGAGATACCTGAAGTGAAAACAAAACAAAAGTTCACTGATCTGGGCACTATTGTGGAGCTAGGTCCAGTTGGGGAAGAAATGAACTCCTATTGGCCGTTATGTCAGGCTGCTCTTGATTCTACATCACTCCTCTATATAGGATCTTTCTTAATAAAGCTTTTCTCTGTCCTCACTACTGAGGTGAAAATGTATGAGAGATTTGTCCAGAAACAGGGTTATGCTAATCAAGATTTATGACTACTCTATGTATTAATTATACACAAACTACTATTCCCAGAACCCTTAAACAAAATTTCTCAACTTAGGCAATAATTCAAATATTTAGGCAAATATTTCTCAAAAATAGGCAATAATAAGACTGAGTTTATATATACTCTCTGAATCTGGAGTGCTATTTACTAACTGAATTTACGGTTCCCTCTACACCATTAGAGCAGAGGCATTTACAGTCTGAAGAACAGGACGGCCATGTGCTTCCAGAGTCAGAGTGGAAATTCTCATGCCATCTCTCACCCTTACTAATTCTAATGGTGACTGCATGAAAGAGTGGTTGAGAGATATTCCCCCGCCCTTCAAGTTAGACTTTTAACCTGCTAAATGAGAGAATAGGATGATGTTAAGAGGGATTATAGAATCTATTTCTGGTTATAGGATGTGAGACCAGGTAATCAAATTCGAGACATTCTCATTGGATTAGAAAAGGAAAAATGAGACCATCACTGGCAGGGCATACAATCTCAGAGAACATCTACTCCAAAATCTCAGAGAACATCTACTCCAAAAATTAGTTTTGTTGCCATTGCCCCTTACTTAAAGATTCAATTATCTCAATAAAGTACATTACTTAGCATAGTCTTAGAGACAAAGACTTTGAAACCACCGTGTATTCAAGATAGAAAACAAACTTTAAAAATAGAATACAAGATTTGCCCTTTATCTCATTTCTATTCTGTGGCTAAGAAGTCTAAACCCCACTAGAAAATCCTGCTTGTCCAAAAATTCACTGGGTGATACTAAGTCAAGATGGGAGCAAATGTTTATTGGGTGGGTGTACGCCTTTACCTGATGTTTCCCTCTGGAGTGGAAGCATAACGTGGCAAACAAAAGTCTACTTAGAACTGTCACTGTCACAAGAAGCCCTGATGTTGTCCTTGCCTCAAATCATTAAATCTGATTCAAGAGAAGGAAAAAATGTGATGCAAAAACACCTCCTTCCACAAAACTCAGCGATGGGGTCTCCGACAGTCACCAGGCAGCAGGGAAAAGGAGAAACCCACCCGCTGGCTCTAGGACTTATTGAAGGCTGCCAGCACAGCCCAGATCATCTCTGTGGCACTGTGCTTTGTCCCCTCCACTTCAGGGTCCAATTCTACCAGGTCCTTGGCTCGATTCATTGCCACATCATACTTGTCATCTGTCAGAGAGGAGAAGACATTCTCGAGCACGTCAGAGGAGTGGGCTAGCACCAGAAGTGCCAGTGTTCGCTTGTCCATTCGCTGAGGGTCATTTACCCACCGTTCTAGTACGCTATCTTGCAATTTTTTCACTAGTCGCTGCTTTTCTGTTGTGTTGGTTACGGGATGAGTAGTCATATCAAATAGAAGGAAATTCTGCTTCTCAGTAGTTAGAATACCCTTCTCTACTAGGTTCTTTGCAATTCGCTCTCGTACATTCCTCAGCTGGTATTGTAATTTGAAAGGGTTCCAGGTCTCACCTATAGGGAAAAAGAAATAGACCATCATGAACAGAAAGAGAGAAAGTGAAAATGTACATTAGTTATTTGGAACTTGAATGGTTGAATTTTTAAAAAGAATCATCTCCATCCATTCCTCAATTCAGGCTGTAAACTGTAAGGCCAGCAGTAGAAATCTATCAGCCACTCTGTGGGAGAAAGATGAGGTTATTTGCTCCCATAAAGATTGAGACAGAGAGCAGTGTCCCTCCATCCTGTAGGGTTGCTATGAGTCGGAATCAACTAGACGGCAATGGATGTGGTTGGTTTTATAGACCAGTTTTCAATCCAGTCGTAGTTCACACTAAAGTAAGTTCAAAAAGTTTTATGAGGGAATTCCATATCGCTAGTTTATAGACTTTATTTCTCTTATCTTACACAGATTTTCTCTGATACTGTTAGTGATTCTTGTATTTCCTTGGAGTTCTCTTTCAGGTTCCGGTGTCTCCTGAATGTTTTCTGCTGTGTACTAATGGAAGTTTATTCTGGGTGGGTATAGCAGAGAGGACTGAGGCTGTATTCCTTTATTAGTAGGATACGAATACTACCTCAGGCATAGCAAGCCAAGGATACTGGAGACGCGACTGTCCCCATTGCAGCTTACTTTTAGAGGCTCACTTCCCACACTGGAAGGGGCAAGAGAAAAAGACAAAGGTGTCCCTCCCTTCCTTTCAGCTCCCATTCAAAAAGACACATGTCAACATGGGATAAGTGGACCACTGTTCTCGTCCCAGCTTCTGTGCAGTGCCCAAAGATTTCTGCCTAGGAAGGGAAGCAAACCTGAAAGATAAGGAGCTCCAATTTCTGTCTAAGAGGACTTTGGAGAGTTCTATGCTTAAAAGTATTAGAAATTTAGAGATTACCATAGACTCTATTAACCTGTTACCAGAAGAAACTACAGTGATATCCAGCTATCACTACTGACTACTCTGATCAGAATCACAATAGAAGGTTCTGGATACAGTGGGAGAAAATGTAGAACAAAATTCAAAATCATAAAAAAGACCAGACAGACGGTCTGATAGAGACTGGTGGAAGCCCTAATATTAAGGGGCTTAGCCATCATTCATACCTGGAACTGAACGCACATATGGGGATTACTTCTTAGGCAAATTAACCAGGCCCATAAAATCAACTGTAATATCTGCGGGAAAAATACTCATCAGAACAATCAATAATCTGAGTACCTAAAGGACATCTCTGCTCAGAAGGATGAATGGAAACAAGAGTCCAGGGAGGAGGTGGGCAGAGCACTATTACAATAGGGGGAGTGCAACTAACATCATGAAGCAAGAATGTTCAAGAACTGTCAAATAAAAAACCAAATTGCTCTGTAAACTTTTACCAAAACCACAATAAAATGTTTGGGAAGGGGGGAAGCCTCCAAACCCCAACACAAGGAGATCTTGAGAGGGTAATTAAGAGGGTGCCAGTAGCTTAATGATACTTGTAGCAACAAGCCAAATGGTAAAGCAGCTTAGAAGTTTAATAGAACTAGAGAAAGATAAATCCATGAAAAGCCCTCCTGGGATCACAGCCAGTCCTGGGGTTGAAAAGACTATGTGCATGCACTAATTTGTACTCACTCAGGAGCAGTCGAAACAGGGAAGGGGTAGGGAGAGTTTTGAAAGCACTCCCTAAGCCACCCACAGATCCATCAACGAAGAGTAGAAATTGTATTTTCATAGGGCTTAAGCATAACTTTTGACCAAACACTGGCTGAACAAAGGCTAATCAAAGGGTAACTCCTAGATGGCCCGAATTAAAAATAAAATCACAGGTAAGAAGCACCAACAAGATGGTGGTGTAAGTAGCTTTACACTTCCACTCCCCCTATAGGGACTTCTTCCATTCCTCACCCAACAGAAAACATAATTGAGCAGAAACTGGCAGAACCTATGTATTACTGGATCTGTAACATATATAGGTATAATATGTATAACAATATTAACACAAACAAGGAAAAGAAGTTGTTACATAAGAAGTTTCATTGGAATGAAATTTAGTGTAAATTTTAAGTAGATTTTGAGAAGCTAGAATATATACTTGTAAGCCATAGTGCAACCACTGAGAAAATAATAAATTAATTTAGATTGTTAAAGGATTTAAAATGTTACACTAGGAAATATCTCCTTACAACAAAAGAAGGCAATAAAGGAATAAGAGAGGAATAAAAAAAATACTGATATAGGAAACAAATAACAAAATGGCATATGTAAATTTAATCACATCAATGACATTAAATATGAATAGATTACAAATAGCCCAAGCAAAAGGCAGAGACTGGGGACTTTCAGTAAAATAGTGGACTAGGTAGACCCACTAAGCACCCAGACCTTCTACAACAAAGTCAGGAAAAAACAAATGCAACATCACAATCCTGGAATCCAAGCTTCAGAGGAAAGGGAAGAGAAGTGAACTGAGTACTAACTAGGAGAAGAAGCTGAACAAAAGTCGTGCAAGAAGAAAAGACATAATGGGTGAAGTGTCGGCTGGCCATTTTGAACTTCTGTACTCACCAGTGTTTGCTTGGCACAGCGACCTGGACAGCTCATTCAGTAGAATACAAGTGCACATAAAAAGTGGCTAGCAAACAGAAAAGTGTGTTCTTCCTCTTTTCCTCATAGCTTCCTGGTGATCAGAACCATGGCCAACCTACCTTCATAGGCCCTGCTCTACCTAAGGTCAGAGAAGCACCCTTGTAGGTTGGGCACCAGCTGCATTAATACTCCCCAAGTGTGGAGGTGTGTGTGTTCTGTCTCCACCATCCAGCAGAACACCCACTTCCAGAAGGGTGGCCTGCCTTCATCTATACCTTCGCCAGGTATCCTACCCCCAGTCATCCATAAAGCTGACAAAAAACTCTGCAACCAGGTCACCTACATCCAGTCACCCTCTGAGCCAGCATAAATTACTTCCAGAACTAATCCCAATGACCTTTTAGGGTGGCAGGAACTCCAACTAGGGCTAAACTAAAAATCCTTACAATGGGTCAACTCCACTCATAATGACCCTAGAGGACAGAGTAGAACTGTCCCTTGTAGGATTTTGTAAATCTTTATGGGAAGAGAAAGCCTCCATTTTTCCTCCAGTGCAGCTGTGGTTTCAAACTGCAGACCTGAAAGTTAGTAGTCCAACTCATAAGCTACCATATACCCCCAGGACTCCTTTTCATTTGGGACTGGATATCTTGCATTCTTTTCACCTCTTTGGCCAGCAGAGAGCATTTGACCCATACCAGGGGACATGCTCCCATCCCCCAACACCACCACCACCAATTTTCTTTGCCTTTTCTTCATTTTGATTGTCCTTTCTCTGTATTCCTTTTGTTGTTGCTGTTTTAGTTTCTCTTCCTTTGCTTGCTTAGTTGTTGTTTTTTACTATTCACTTTTCTTACCCTCCCCTCGGTTTTGTTTTGTTTCTTTCTCTTTCCTTATGTTTTATCTTATTTTTCAGTTATTTCCTTTTTCTTCTTGTTAGCTGGTCTTTTCCCTCCTGCTTCTTTTTTTTCCTTTGTAAAATTTATTAATTTCTATTTTTTGAAGTTGTTGTTTTGGTATTCTCTCTTTATCTCTTGTCCCACCCAGCAAGAAAGTTACCATGCCCACACTGCTCGGCTAAATCGCACCTCTTTCTGAACCTAGTGGTTGAGGGTCACCAGCTGCTCCTGTACCAGTGATCAATAATAGATCAATAATACCACTGATCAACAATAGACAGCAGCTAACACAAGCTCAATCCATCCTCAGCTATGCTACATGAACAGCGAGAACAGGGAACTATGCACACATTCCCAACACCTATCACATCCATCATAAGACAGAAGATGAAAGCCTAAACACAGACCAACATATACTCACCACTTAAATACAAATATAATAACACCATAATGTCTCAGAAAAAATAAGGCAATTTCAGTCTTATTGGTTTCAGTCCAAGAAACCAAATCAACCAAACTCACTAACTAATCTCATAATTATTAACATGTCTTCTAACATCTTTCTTGATTCTGACTCATAGTGACTCTATAGGTCAGAGAGGCTGTAAATATTTATGGGAGCAGAAAGTTTAATCTTTCTCCTTCAGAGTGGGTAGTGGGCTCAAACTACTGACCTTGTAGGTATGAGTTCAACGCATAACCTACCAGGGTTCCTTAAGAAACAAGACAGCGACTCAACAAAGTGACTAAACTGTAGAGCCAGAAAACCATCTTGAGGAAGAAAAGTCAGTGAAAGTTGATAAGGAATTCAAAAGAATGAAACTTAGGTACCTTCAAAGGATTAATAGATGAAGAAAACTGACAACAAAATTAAGGAAAACACAGATAAAACTTTAGGAGAATAAAGGCAAACACTTTAAAA